GAGGGGGTGAACGGTGCTCGTTTTTCTTTAATTTTTCTCCTGGGACTTCTATTGCGTGGGGTGAAAAACGAACGCGTGTTTCATAGGTCATTAACGTCAGGGATCCGTTCTAAGCGGTATTTGCGTAAAGTACAAAAATTGTTGCATCGCCCCCTTAACCTATTTTTCTCTCGCTCTGACCCTTTCCAGAATGAATAAATGAATGGCTTAGTACCTTAAATAAGAGGAAAGAAAAGCCTGAAGCATAAACGAAGTTAACCCTTTTAACTCTTCAAACAAGAAAACAAACAAACCAAAGTTAAAAATAAAACGAAACAAAAAAAAAAAAAAAAAAAAAACGGAGTAGGATTTAATGACTTGTCCGAAAGTAATCACAATCGACCGGAACTTGGAAGGCTGCTCCTTACATCGAAATCTTTCAGGGACTTCTAAGTGCTCGGAATTAAGCGACGACGTATAGCATCGCGCTTGCAGCAAGGAAGCCTTCTTTGTTCCTAAAGTTTTATACCTTTTCGTATATATATATATATATATATATATAAAAATCGATCCATTTAAGTAAGAGGATTGTCTCGAACTTTGAAATGTTTACCGGCGCAAAAACGATGTTTGAAACTCTCTTTCGAGCTTTTAGCGTAACTCTATAAAGAGAAGATGGGATATCCAGGGTAAAGAAGTATACTTAGTGTTTTCTTTCAGAATCATAAGAGCCAGGAAAAAAAAAAAGTTTGATGAGAAATTGAATACTTTCTAGTGAAGAGAACGCCGAAATATATATTTTGTTCGATTTTTATGCCTTTATTATGTTTACGAATTATGTCGTTCGACGATTGTGTGAAGGAATTTCATCGGAAGCTATAGATATCACACATATTGGTGTACTAATGGGACACTGACAGGGTATTTAAGCTCGTCAAGATTTTTATTTGTAGATGACATGAGAGCCCAACTGCCGAAAACGAAATTCACGAATCGAAATTAGTTTTCTTTCCGCCCGAAAACCGCCGATCGAGAACCGGCCAGTTTGATTCGCACTCACTCTCTTCTCCGTGGTCACGTGACGTTTTTGTGTGGTTTACAGACAAACCACCAAAGATGATCAAAGTCGTGAGTCATCGAAGGCACATACTCAATACTAAAAATAAACACAAAATAAGATACCCATTCTTTGTGGCTTCCAAATTGCTGCAAACACGCTGATAAAAAAAAAAAAAAAAAAGTTGCCCAGTCACGTGATTTTTGGTGAGTTTCTCTATATTTCTGCTTCCTCCCCAGTCCAGTTGCGGTCTCCGTTACGAGCAATTGCGTTTTTCTTTTTTTTTTTTTTTGTTGTATTAAAAATATACGTGGCGCCAGTCACGTAGCCAGTATTTTGTTTCGGGGCGGGACGGGGGGGGGGGGGGGGGGGGGCGGCGCTAATAACAAAATGCTGTATGAGGGGGAGGGGGAGAGGAGGTCCCAGCAAAATGGAAGATTTCTGGGGGGGGGGGGGGGGGGGGAGGGGGGGCCGGGCCCCGTGGGTTTTTTCCCGGCCACGTGCCTGCGTGACGCTGAGCGCACTGTTGATTAGGTAGTCTTCTGACACCTCAATACATTGCCTAGCAAAAATAATGAAAAAAATTTGGGGGGTGTCAGTGTCCCATTGAGAGGTCCGGTGAGACTGTGATAGCGGAAAGGGTCAAAATAGTACGAAAAAAATCTAAAATTGGCAGCTGCCTTTAACCTCAAAGTCCTATTATGCATGAAATCCGTAACAGAGGATCGGTGCGTGACGTGACGTAAATGTTTTCGCTAAATTTAGCGGGGAAACTGAATGGTTGTATAGGTCACGTGACGTCAATTGCTCCCGCTAAATTTAGCAGAAAATACGCAGACGGACAAAGTTTTGGAATTGGGGTTGAGGGGGGGGGGGGGGGGGGAGGTTAGGGTTGAGAAGCATTTCATGCTTTAAGAAACAGAACGGAACAAAGGGTGACAAAAACAGACTCAAGACTGGGCTGTGGCGATTGGGCGGATTTCAAGCAGAACTCTGATAAATAAATGTAGGGCCATTACCCTGGCACACGGAGGCCATACACGCGCCGGCACACACACACATACATGCCATTACACGCACGCACGCACACGCACGCACGCGCGCGAAGAGCTGTCATCCGCGAGGAAAAAGCAAACATTGGTGGGAAAATTTAATTACGGTCCGACCAAATTAAAGGAGCCCATACTGTCAACTGAATGAGAACTTATGAGAATAGACCGTACAAAGAAAAGAATAGCGAAGGAGAACTAAATTTCTAATGAAGCGGCACAAAAATATTTGGTTAGTCCTTTGGTCCAGATCAATTCTATGGATCGCTATTTCGGCAAGTGAGGCCCAGGTTTCTCTGAGGTCGTCGCTATATAGTATGCACTAGTGAATTACCATACTTAAAGTCACTAAATGAGCTGGGCTCATTTAGTAGCATTTAGTAGCTAAGCGTAGCTTATTTAGTGGCACTAACCATACTGTTTCTCTGCCAATAATTTGATGATGCCTGTGGAAATATTGGGAACAATGTTATACAATAGAAACACACCATTCATTGTTGCACGCATAGATACCTTGCAAACAGCTTGGATAGCAATATACACGCCAACGTGCATAACTACAAAAAAGACGCGTGCTGTAAAGAGCAACTATGGTAGTTTAACGCATGCGAATTGAGTTATATACACATACATATGAGTTACATACAAAGCTATAGTCATGACAGCTGAAGATGTACAGTCTCATTGGCCGAAGATAAGGGGCTCGGGACTTGCCACGCTCCGCCTTTTTAAGCCTAACTGGATTTCTTGCTGGAAACCTGAATTCCAGTTAAGATTTTCTCTTTCATAGTCCAGTTTATACCGGTTTTTTTTTTTGGTAGGGTAATACATGAACACGTGACGAAATAAACAGCTGAGAGGATTTCTGAAGCACAACGAGCACGTGCCACGTGCTAGCAAGCGTCGTACTACGTTCCACGTGCTGGTGTGTGTTTCCAGAATACTTCTGATTGGACACCTCGTTTGTGTGTGTGTGTGTGTTAGTTTTCAAACGCGGCCACGTCATTTTGTTGCTTTACGACCTCAACAAATGACGGTACGCTCTTGGCCGCCACGTCATCGCGAGTTCCCTGCGCCTTATCTTTACCTTTTGCCCTTTGATTGGCGTGCTCTTCCTTGCCTTCCGACGCGCCAAAGCCGCGTTTCGGAACACTTGCTCGCCGTACAGTTCCTGACAGCTGAAGGAACGCCGAGCGTGGCGGATCCGAGGCCTATTATTATCCCCCCTTAACCAATCAGGCTGCGGCATTACGAGAAGAGGCCACGCCCGGTGTTTCTTTGGTTGCCGACGACTATACGGAGCGCAAGTTCGTCTGCTTCTTGCGCAGGGGTTGCGGTGACGTCAGAACGCCGAGCTCTGATTGGCTTGATTGGAAGGATATGGGGCAGACCTCAAGGCTGGTAGCACTGCGGTCCGCCCACTATTATTCCGTAAAGAGCCAATCAGAGATCGGCGTTCTGACGTCACCGCAGCCCATGAGCAAGAAGCAGACGAACTTGCGCTCCATAGAGGCTTGTTTCAATCATATACGTTTTGAGCGAAGGAGATTCAGGCAATTTTCTAAGAGGGAAGTATCGATCATTTAGACCCGGTAACGTGCCGAATCAACAAGAGACGCAGACGGAAACATCAAACAAATATAAAGCTCCTAAAAAAAAAACATTTTTTAGTTTTTTTCTGACGAATTAGAGCTGACTGAGACGTGGTTATCGGTCTTCATTGGACAAGAAAAGTGAGATAAATTGATTTTTTTTCCCAACAGATATGTTTTTTCTTTTCAATCTGCTCTGAAACCCAAAATATCCAGACGACAAACTTTATATTGAGAAGAATGAAAGAGAAAAGCAAATACTAAATACGTATATGCGTATACATATATTTACTTGTTCGACGGACGACAATAGGGATGTCAGTGTCTGTACCATTCCTCGTATTCACGTTTAAAATATAAAACAAAGAAAAAAGAAGAAAGAAGCAAGGTACTTGGCGAACCAAATTCTTCGCATCACGGCGTTTTTGTATAGTCTCTGTGTTATAACGATTTTAAAAGATCCAGCTACGCTGGATCCCCCCGAATAAATGGCCCGCAAAGAAGACATCGCTCCCAGGTTCTTTTTATAACTGCTTCTGGACGAGCGCGTTCAATGCAAATCAGCTTGTCCTAACGTCATTGAAACGCAAAAGTCACCCTGTTAGTATTTGTTTCTGAGAACTGGATTTTTTTTTAGGTATGTGCATGTTTGTTTTGGAAATCTGTAGAAAAATTTTTGTAGAGTTTGTGGCGGCTTTTCGTCTTGTCGGAGTTAACGCATAGTCGATGGAAAATGTGTTTTTTGTCAAGAGGATTTGTTGAAACAGCTGCTTTTATCAAATAAGGCTAGTATCACTTTAGCGTTCGCTCGTATGATTTTATGGCATTGAGAGCCTTCAGGTTAGCAGATAAAGCACCTATATAATTTCAAGAGAGTATTACTAATATGATGGAGATAAAGGGCGCAGCAAATGCAGACAAAGAAAAGACTACCACAACAAGCCCAATGTGCTTAAATACAGATAATCTATATTTGCAGTATACATCAGGTACGAAATAAACAAGCTGCTTACTTCTATGCTATTTTTGACAGCGTTACCTTGTTTTTTTTTAATAATTGAGAAATCATATCTAGATACGTAAAATAAAGAACGAATCCATGAATCAAGGCTCTATGGAAAACTGACACAGCATTGTGGCGAGATAAAATATTCCGAAAGTCCACTTGATTTCCGAAATTTATATTTTCCGTCTTCTGTCATAAGCCCTTGATGTTTTTAGCAATAAAGCTCGAGATATGATGAGTGACCGGAAAAGTCGAAGACCCGTCGTTTCGATTATCGCAGTGCCTTGACATTTGATGTTCGCCACGTCATTTTACAGCTGTCCTGGGAGCTGGGCACCCTCGCCCAGCGCGAAAACGAGTTCAAAGAGATCTACCTGGAACTCAGCAACCAGTGCAAGAAGTACTCCTGCGAGCTGCTGGACCTGTGCCGCAGCAGCGAGGAGGTCGTCGCCGTCCTCAACAAACGTTCTGGCCCGGACCAGATTGAGGACTCGGACGACGACACCGACGACGAGCTCGAGTACGACGCCGGCCAGGACTACTGCCCCGACCAGGCCAACCCGGGACCGTACCACCACTCGGGAGGCCTCACCCTCTCCCGGCTCAAGATGGCTCTCAAATACGACCAGAAGCAGTTCGTGGCACACCCCAACTGCCAGCAGCTCTTAACGTCCATCTGGTACCAGGGCCTACCGGTGTGGCGACGTCGTAACGCCCTCAGCAAGATCTGTCTCTGCGCTGGTCTCATCGCCCTGCTGCCGCTCATCGCCTGCTACTACCTCGCCTTTCCGAGGTCGCGTCTGAGTCGTGTGGTCCGTTCGCCCTTCATGAAGTTCATCTACCACAGCGCGTCGTTCGGATGCTTTTTGCTTCTGCTCATCCTCGCGTCCACCAGGACGGACCGCTCCAGACAAAACATCCGCGGTCCCGCCCCGTCACCCGTCGAGTGGCTCATCCTCTTCTGGGTCACGGGGATGGTGTGGGCCGAGTGCAAGCAGCTATGGGAAGAGGGACTCAAGGCGTACGTTCGCCAGTGGTGGAACTGGCTGGACTTTATCATGCTGTCGTTGTACCTGACCACTGGGTCCCTCCGGGCCGTCGCCTACTTCCAGGTGCAGAGCGGCCAGTACGGGGCCAAGGTTCTGGAGAGGGTCCAGTGGCCGTCTAACGACCCGACGCTGATCGCGGAAGGGGTGTTCGCGATGGCCAACGTGTTTAGTTTTGCGAGGATCATCTACCTGTTTCAGACGAACCCGCACCTGGGTCCACTGCAGATATCGCTGGGCTGCATGATCATCGACATCGCCAAGTTTCTCTTCATCTTCTTTCTGGTGCTCACGTCATTTGTGTGCGGTCTGAACCAGCTGTACTGGTACTACGACCCGAGCATGGGCTTCTGCGAGACCAAGGAGGTCGGGGGTGTGAACATTACTTTCAATTGCCACCACAATCCAGACGCCTTTCTAACGTGAGTCGCGACTCTTCTCTGTCCTTTTCTTAAAAATATTCAATTCTTAAATCGAGGTTTGGAGAGTGCGTGACTGCTAGCATTTAAACGGGTGCGGGAGCACCTTTTGAAAAAATTACCTAACGTCAGCTGGCGTCTGTATTTTCATGGAGTCTTAGTTTTGAGTAAACGATGACACAATTAAATAACCTATTTATTATCGTTGATTATACAAGATATATAAAATTATACGAAAGTTCTCCTGAGAACGTTTCAGAACGGGCTCCTTTTGCATCAATATTCCACTTGAAAAAGCAAGTTACAGTAGCTCTCATGCTTTAATTTAACGCCGAAAACAAGTATCAGAATCAAAAAAGAACTTGGCAAAAAAACAAAAAACAAAAAAAAACACCTCTTTTATTTATTTTAAACGTTAATACAGATACAGTACTCCCTATGTTGACTCGTGGGTAGAAAGAGGCTGATATTTGTTGGCGCATTACAAGGGCGTAATTAGGTACTTGTTAGGTCTGGGTATTTCCCTAATATCGTTAAATCAGTAGTGTTTTAACAATCCACTTTTGTGTTTATAAAAAGTTCCTGTGACTTAGTTGGACTTTCTAAGAATCACTAGGATATATTGTTTTTGTTGTTACCAATCGAGATTTTTTTTTCAAATGTATTCAAAAACACGGTAGCGCTCGAGACGAGGTCAAAGTAGGAGATTGGACAACACAGTGCGCTGGGCAAAGTAGGGGACTAAACAAATTTTCCCACTATCTGGCAGCTGCCGCGCCCATTATCCGAGGCCACCATTCTTCGGGCATGACCTCTGAGCATGTACCGAACAGTAGTGCTACGTTCTTGTTCGGCATGATCTGGAATTTAAACACCTGTTTCGCGCCCAAAGAAATGAAGACTGAATGTGGCTTTAAGAGGTTTTGCAAAAGTGTGTTTTCCTACCGCTATATATTTGTATATTATACGTTGAAATTTTGAATTCTTTCGTTAGTACACTAGGAAACACTAAAATTAACAACACGAAGTGACACCCTTAAAAACATTTAAGGTCGACCTTACGTTGTTTGAAGGACATATATCTTCTACTCCGACTCAAAAATGTTCTAAGAAACACTACAAAAAATACCGACGTACAGTTACACCAGCGATTTGCGTGCTACTGTTTCAGGATAGACGCCAGTTACACGTCCTTACTATGGTCTCTATTCGGAGTCATCCCCATCAAGGACATCAGCGCTCGAAAGGACCAGCCCTTCACGAAGTGGGTGGGACACGCCCTACTCGGCGCCTACATGATCATGGCCATGACGGTCATGATCAACATGCTCATCGCCATGATGAGCAGGTCCTTCCAGGACATCGAGGTGAGGTGGCATGCCTCTTTCGTTTCGTGAGCGTGTGTTCTGTCGACGAAGATGATGTATCATTACAACATGATTGTCACATTGTGATCTAATAGAGCCAATCAGGCAGTGCCAAAAGTGCATCGTCACGGCGCCCGTCGTCTTTATGCGTTAGCTACTCCCGGCTAAACCACCAGTCACGCGCACAGCGAATGCGCCGTGATCCTGCGCTTTTTGTCTGCGTCTGATTGGTCTAGCCGGTTATAGCGAAGCACACAAAGACGACAAGCGCCATGACGATGCACTTTTGGCATCTCTTATAGTCCGTTGCAACTCAAGAAGGTAGGGCGAGGGTAAGACGGGCCGGGGAAGACGGAACGCTAAAGAGAGAAGGAGGTTTCCCCCTCTCTTCTCCAGTGTTCCGTCTGCTTCCCCCTTTCCGGCCCGTCTTAGCTTCGTCCTACCTTCTTGAGTTGCAACGGACTATAGTAGGTTCCATCGGAACGGCGTTCGTCATCTTTATGCGTGAGCTATTTCCGCCTAAACCACCAGTCACGCGCACAGCGAATGCGCCGTGATTCTGCGCTTTTGTCTGCGTCGGTTTAGTCGATTGTGACGAAACGCACAAAGACGACAAGTGCCATGACGATGCACTTTTTGGCATCTCAAAATGGGAGAGGGGACGCGGCCCGTACCTTCCACTGCATTGCCAAGAAAAGTTGTCGCGGAGTATAGGCTCCATTGGAATGTTGTAGCGTTGGCTGCGCGTCGCACTCAATGTGAGACGGATGTGGAAGGCTGGCTTTCGTAGAGTCTTCGTTCAAATAAAACGTCGAATCAACAGCGGCGTCTGCGAATACAGCAGCATGGATCACCCTGTCTACTCGTATCGACGTCGGCTTAGTATCGATACTAAGTCGAGAGCTAACGCAACCGTCATCTCAACTATGTTTACGTAATATTTCGACGTTTTGAAGTTAAAACTCGGTTATAGTTGTAGTCTGACAGAGCGAGCAATCAGACTGTGACTGCAACAAAATGAATCAGATAGGAGTCTGGGCACAACGTGATACCAGTACGTAATATAACAATTCGTATCGATTGTAAGGTTGTATACGTTGTGGTTAATTTGCCGAAAGTAAATAAACTTCAAATCGGGTATGAGATACAAAACGTACACAAAAGAACGGGTAAAATGTTTCTCTAGGATTTGTTTCGTTCTCCTTTGGAAAGAGTATCTGCCAAAAATGAACGTTGTGATCTCCGAGAGTCGAAGGGCCATACGGAGCACACGGTGTTCTTCTGCAGGGGCTGGGGAGACGTCAGAATGCCGGGCTCTGATTGGCTCTGATGGAAGGATAGTGGGTAGACCTCAATGCCTTTGAGGTCCACCCACTGTCCTTCATTCAGAGCCAATCAGAGCTCGGCGTTCTGACGTCGCCATAACCCCCCGTAAAAGAAGCAGACGAACTTGCGCTCCGGATAGTTCTGACAGTACAAACTAGTTTCTGCGCTTGCGCAGTGCCGACGGCAGCGCCACCGCAGCGGCGTGGCGGGTTCCTTGCATCTTATTATCTCTCAGCAACCAATCAGATGGCGGTATCAACGAACGAGAGCGCAGTTTAACCAATAACAAAGCAAGAAGCGTGACCCCTCCCTTGCGTTTGTAGGCTTAGGCCTGGAGCGGAGTGCATAAACAGGACATTGAACCTTTTCACGAACTCAGTATCGACTGACAAAGAAATAAATAACCAAAAATAAACACGAGAAAAAAAATATTGGCACCCCATTGAAGAACAAATATGACGAGACCGAATCAGGCAAAATATTAATAATAATAAATATTTTACAAGAAAAATGCGAAGAAAAAGCAGAATGAAAAAAAAAAAAAACAGAAAGGAAAAGTAAACGATAAGGACTTTAAGATATATTCACGAGCGAAATCCTTTTTGTCAACCCGTTGCAGTCAGAAACGAGCGGTGTAGAGTCTCGTCACTTTTATGCATGGCTTTATATATTCACGTTCACTTATCTGAATAAATAAACTTTGACAGGATTTTTACTTTTTTATTTTTAAAATATATAGAGCAGCAGGATGTTGCAATTCAATAGCAATTCCGAGCTAAAAAAAGAAAATAAAAAGAAAACCTGCCAAGTTATTCACGAAAGAAAAAAAAAGTCAATCTATTCTCACATTTGGGGCAAAAAACACATACAGCGGAGAGCCCGCGAAAGCAGGAGGAGTCGGGGAGCTGAACGCGTATATGATCCATTACAACTTGACGTCGAAAAGCGCCGTGTCACCCGTTTCTTTCTTCGCCCTTCCTAATTTCAATCGTACGACTTCTTTTTTTTTTTTTTTACTATAATAACGTTTTGCATTGGTTGACAATGTAGCCGAGTAAAGACATACGAGGACAGTACCATAGTTTACCCGCCAGCGCGAATATAGTCCCTAAAAATTACAGCAGTGAAGAAAGATATTGCGGCTGAAAAAAAAAAGTAGTGGGTAATAATTGATTTTCATTATTTTTCCACGGGACCTTCAGTTCGCCCTGCAGCTTGGACGGACGTGTTAGAAATAATGAGCGTCTCATCAATAACGAGCTCCGGGTATCTAATGATCTTAATTGCGTTTATTAATGAATGGTGGCCACAAGTCCGAATAAGGCACATTATGATGGTCGGCGAAATTTCGAAGGTTGAGCGGTTGATGACAGAAACGACGAAAGAAAAAAAATCTGAATGGAAGCCTGCAACATCGCGATAAAAGCCTTATAAAAGAAATGCCGCACTTAAAAAAAAAAAAAATATAATGTAGGCGTTTTTTTTTTTTTTTTATATCACGTTGCAGTAGTCTCAAATGAAGATAAACGAGCGTTGTGATCGAATCGCCAGCCCGGCCTGACTCATGTTTCCGTGAGTTTTGTTTCCGTGGAAACATTTTCTCGGTGGGTCGTTTTTCGTTTTAGTTCTACGGTCACTCAGAGAATGAGAAGCGCGGGGCGTGTCTTTCGAGTGCCCGACCACCAGCACGAGCTCGGCGCGCCTTCCACCGTGCTTTGGCTGCACTTGCATGCTCGAGGCCTACGAGAGGCCGAAGCTTTAACCGAAGCTTGCGCTGGAGGCGGGAAAACTGAAGGATTTTCCCGCCGTTCTAGTTTTATCAGGATGAGAACGGCAGGGAAGTCATCAAGACCCGCGAAGCAGCATCAAGAATTAATTATACTGCAATTAAATGCAAAAGTGCATGCGAGCTGAACAAGATTGACGAAAATAATCCCTGGAGAAGGGGAACAAGAGAAGATTTGAGATTTGTGTTTGTCCTTTGTCCCTCTTGTTCCCCTTCCCCAGGGATTATTTTCGTCAGCATCAAGAAGCAATCGATTTTGACGCCCGTATCAGGATCCGTGAAAAGAATAACAAGAGCGTTCGTCATCATCCTTTTCAGCAACAGCAACGACAAAAACAATGACAGGTATATGCAAGCGCAAAAGGAACGAGATTTTTGTAATAAACAATATTGGAGCAGTATTTCAGGTCAAAATGGAACAGAGTGCATAAACAAGACTTTGACGGTTTCAGGCATTTAGTATCGACTGAAAAGAAATAAAAAAAATATATATATACACGAGCAAAAAAAAAGTATTGGCAGCCGATTGAAAGAATTATGTCACGGATGAATCGAAATCAAATAAAAAAAGCGTACAAAAAAAAAAAAAAGACGAAGAGGACAATGAAGTGAGGAGAAAGGACTTCAAAATATATTCACGAGCGCTATCCTTTTTGTCCACACACTACAGTCGAGAGTGAACGGCGCGGAGTCTTGTCATTTTTTATACGTTCAGTTATCTTTATAATGTAAAATATAGGATCGGCCTTCTTTTATATATATATATATATATATATTGTTCGCAGAGTGTTGAAATTCGACAGCAATTTTGAGCTAGAAAAACAAACAAACAATGAAGTGCAGAGTTGTCGCGAAAACCAAAAAAATCAATCCATTCTCACACTCCGGGCAAAGTACACATACAGTGGGGACTGCGAAAGCGGACGGTGGGAGGCCGAATATGTATGATCCATTATAACTTCCCGACGAAAGAGAACGGTTCCTCCATTTTGTTTTTCTAGCCGTTCCCAATTTCAAACTGTGCGCCTGTTTTTCTTTTTTCTATACAACACTGGGGACAACAGAGTTACTGAAACACTCCGTGCGACACTTTTGCTAACTTTAAAGCTTAAATATAAGTTTTGGACGACCGTTGCGGCGACATCGGACAAATGTTTCTTGTTCAATGGGTAGCCGCAAATTTGCGACCGAATAACAAAAGAAATGGAAGGGGGAGGGGGGGGAGGATGTTTTTGTGACTACGCAGCAACAGCGAAATTATATTCTTTGGCTGTTATACCGCGCAGTTTTTTTTTTGTATCTTCCTTTGCGAGGGAAACTTCCGGCACCGCACACAATGAGCCATGGCAGGAAGGCAAAAAAAAAGCAAAAAAACTTCTGTTCGAGTTGAATCAGTGGCATCAACGAAACACGGATAGGCTGAATCAAATATTCTTCTTCAGTGTAGCTTCATAACGCACACACACACAAAAAGCGTGTTTTATTTCGTGAAAATAGCATTTGCAATCTGTAAAGCGAAGGATGAAAAATTACCAAGAGAGATACGTTTTTTTTTTTTGTTTAACTTGATGTAAAAGTTTTGTAGCTGTTCGTCCATTGAAACTCAAAGAAAAGTTTGCATAACCCAAAATACACTTGCACGCTCGCCCTAGTTTGAGCTTCCAAGTCCTAGTTTCTATTAAAGGGAAGTTCGAACGTTCTTGCTGATAGTTTTTTCTGTAGGCTTTTTATATGTATACCCACGGGCGTTTTTGTTTTATTCGGTTGTGTTTGACCTTACAGAGTGACGACGCGATGTGGCCTTTGTCGCTATTTCGCCATTAGACGTCCTTTGTAAAGTACAAGAATATAACTCTTTATGAAAGAAAACAAAAAAACAACACGCTCG